CAAAGCTACTTTGTAAATCTGAGCTAATTGTATAAGTTGCTTTGGGAAACTATAAAAATTTAAAGGTCATGTCCTAGTAGGTGGAATTTTACTGTGGTTCGTTTTCTCAATAAAGATGGAGATCAAATTAAACCACAAGATTTAAGAAAGCTATACTTATTTATTTGTAATCAAACCGCGTGTTTAGGGCGGAGGTATTGGAGAATAAATTTTCTCGCCTCTAATAATATAATTTAAAGATGGTTATGTATCAACACTAGCACTAACTGAAGATTTTAATAATATAGAGTCAGAACATTGAAAAAAATTATCTGCTTTTAAAAAGAACTACGGAAAAAGAAAGTTAGCTTTAATTTTTGGACAAGTAATATGCCCACATAAAGGTCTTAAAAATGATACCAATCAGAATATTCGTTCCTATATATATATACATACTTATGAACATATTGATGTGTATAGTCAGCTATTTTTAGTTGGATATTATTATAGTTAGCCTGCCTATGGTGTATCAATATTATGAATATTATTATTATGAAATATATGATCCCACAACGATTTAAAACTTTCTCTATAATATGTTCGAGTTAAGGGAACCAAAAAATGTGTTATAATATTGTAAGTAGTGGGGTGCAAGAGCAGTCCTTTAAACTCCTTCCTAAATAAAAAGCCAGTTAATAAACCTCATTATTAAAAAGCAAGTCGTTTAATAATAAGTTAGGTTAGGGTAAGTTGGGAGGGGGTATGCACAAGTATCAATATTTTCACTCAGAGACAGTTACTGACCACTGATTTCGCCAGAGAACTGCCTGGAAGCGGTGAGCTATATTAAAGATTGTCATCTTCGTACGTTATACTTAAATCATTTGATTATCTACAAAAAAGATATTTGACGAGTCCATTATCACTATATCTTCAAGACCGATAAAGAAAGTAACTACAATACATTAAAGTCGATTAGTTTATAGTCATGATCAAGAACCTAGAAACCAATTGATGAGAACTATATTATCTTTAAGCAATAAACAAACTGTATTTGCTTTAATATTTACCTCAACATTATACATAACTAATACTATTCCATTTATAAATATAACCATATACCTATGAACAAGTAGGTATTATACTTTTAATCAATCTTTAAGAGCACCATTTTTTCTATAAATTCTTGCTATTATGATCAGTATCGTGACTTTATAGCTAGTTAATATCATTAGAACTTTTACCACTTTTTTTATAACAAACCCTTTAATAATATAGCATTCTTTTTATTTATCGGTAAAGAAAGATGTCCCGATACTTGTGTTGTGTTGTCGATATTTTAAAATTTTTTAAATAGTGCATGTGCTCTACTTTTCATAAATAGTTTATAATTTATTAAAACAAAACAAAATAAATAAAAAATATTAAAAATTATTTTAATGAAGGCCTTTAAAGCATTTCACATATTTTTTAATAGTTAAGGTAGCATTTTTATTTAATTTCATTTTCATATAAGCGAAAGAAGGTCAATGGGTATTTCGAATACTAAGAGCACAAGACATTTCAAGGAGGAAGCAAATTTAATAATTTATATTGAATAAAGTTGGGCACATGGTAAAATAATACGAGAAAATATGAAAAAAATATATTTATAAAAGAAAGCAGTTTACTATGTGCATAAGTACATTTAGTTATCGATCCATCATATAAAATTGAATGCGCTGAGACCTGTCACAGCTGGTGTTTGCTTAATAAACCTCCCACAAAGGGCACAGAAATTTTTCTATTAAAAAATAATACGAAAATGCGTATTCGTACTTTCCTTGAACTACAGAATAAATTTATATTAAATATCACATCAAGTTATTTATTTCCCTATTACTTAAAGTGAAAAAAAAATTTTATTAAAAAATATATTGAAGAGGACTTATTATTATTTGCAGCATTTTATGCATACAGTATATAGTCATTCAATATATGACATATTGACAGTGAAGTGAATACATTAAGTAGAGTATAATACTATTTGAAATTTTCTTCAGAATCTTTTATGGTTTGTTTAGTATATAAAAATTAACTTTTTATTAAAGGAAAGCACAATTTCAAAGAATTCTTGAGAATTTATTAATCATGAGGAAATTTAACTTTAACATTTTCCCAAACCCTATATCGAAAGTAAGCATTGCTAATTAAAGTTAATTTGTATGAAATATAGATAAATTTTACTACTTATTTTATCCATGACGAAGATTTCTGATTTTGTTTTTTTTGGGACGAGGAACGCTACAACAAATAACCATGAGAAACCCTTTTAATACGGATCACTATCAATTGCATCGGCAGCACGATATTTTAAGAGTATTCATATGACACGACTACTAATATTTTGATAACAATTCCAAATTATATCATCCTGAGAATATTGCATTAAATAAAGTGAACACATTTCTCTACGAATAATTACTTTTATTTAAATTACACTAGTTTACAAATAATTAAAAGTTTTGTTTTCCAAAGACGGGACTCATATTTTCTATAGGGAAATTTTCCGTAGAACTCGAAAATCATAACGATTTTTTTTTCCTATGTACCGTTTTCGAGATATTTGCGAAAAACCGTTATTTTGACTTTTTTCAAAACATCACCCTGCATATTCCCCCATAGCTTTTTTTTTGAAGTTATCTCGGTAGTGTATTATATATCAAATGAAAGGTGAAACTTATACCAATATTTTGAGTTACATAACGTTAATGTAACTGACTTAGTTTCGCTGCTATATCTAGAAATGTACAGAGGAAAAATGTTTTTTTTACGTTTTTCTCAACTTTTTCGATTTTCAAGGTGATGGGACTCCCACAAATATATTAAAAAAAATTTTTGTTTTAATTAATGTTAAAGACTGCTTTAGTACAAACATTTTGGGTGGCTTAACATAAAAATCGAATAAAAATTTCAGAAGTTATTCGCCATTTGCCAAATTTGCCCAAAATATTAGTTTTTATTAACAAGTCAGAAAATTCATTTTTTCGAATTTATTTTGTAAAATTTAGAGTGCAAATCAAAACTGTATTATGCAAAATTGCACAAATTTTATTTAAAAAATTAAAATTAATATTATTAAATATTAAATATTGCATTTTATATAAAAGTTTGACGTCGAACGTGGAACTGCTGATTGCCTATGTTTCATGTAATTTGTAGCAGCTTGTTAAACTGGTAGTTTTACATGTGATATAGTACCACATGACACCATATGATTCTAATTTGGTAGTTTTATATTTTCTGAGTACTTTTATATGTGAGATACTGTATTGTAATGGCAAAGAGAAATTTCGTGTGTAAAAACAATCCTAACCACTTCTGTTTCATTTGTGGTCATTTTCTAAAAAAAAAATTTTTAGAAATATAACTAATGATGTAGAAGTAGCATACATCAAGTACTTTGGATTTGCTATGGCTAATCAAGATAAATCGTGGACTTCTGATGGAGTATGCCCAACCTGCAGGATTACACTTAAAAGATGGTCCATTGGAAGAAAATAATATTTAAACTTTTGTGTACCAATAATATGGAAAGAGGTTGTAAACCATTTTCAGTGCTATTTCTGCGTCATAAATCTTGAAGGTGTGATGTCGCGAAAGAAAATAAGATTTCTAGAGTATCCGGAAGTACCATCACAATTAAGCCAGTTCCACGAAGCAATGCGAC